AACAGATTTCTCGACATACAGAGAACTAAAAGAGTTCTTCGACAAAAAGTTTACAGGAACAACCAATGTAATATATGCACTGCCCCAAAAAGATTTAATGACTTTATTCGTTAATGTTTGTATTCTTATTTTTGTCAGTATTTAGTTTTTATGTAAACTCATTCATGTTCATTTGTTAAGTTTATTTTATTTGTATTTCTTAAGAAAGGGAGATGTAGGGTAGATCTTAGTTAGGTGGGTATTGTACGTTGGTACTGTTGACAGTTGGTTGGGGGATTAATAAAGAGACAAGCATGGCGAAAGACCCCATAACGGATATTAATTAATACCTGGTCCCCTGCAAAGCCAACCACCACAGGTTGGTCCAATGTAATACTAATAATAAGTGTTGCCTTTAATTTAATCAATAAAATAAATTGACTTCATTAATTTTTTTGAGCCACCTCTTAAGCAAATCTAAAAAATACGAATGGAATGATAAATCACAAGTACAAACTCATCATATTTTTTGCATTTTAGATAGGATTTATTCAGCAAAATTTAGGGGTGACGTCATCAATTTTTTAGGGGGGATGAACAAAAACATTTTGAACAAAAGTTTATCATGCTTATGATAACTTTAAAATATCTCCAAGACTTCAAAGCACTCGGTTTTGTAATTCCTGATTAAATCGATAAAATAAATTCATGCATTCATTAATTTTTTTAAGTCACCCTGTCTATACAAATCCAAAAATATGAATGGAATGATAAATCACAAGTACAGACTCATCATATTTTCTACATTTTAGATAGAATTTATTCAGCAAAATTTTGGGGTGCCGTCATCAATTTTTTAGGGGGATGAACAAATACATTTTGATAAAAAATTTACCATGCTTATAATAACTTTAAAACATCTCCAAGATTTCAAAGCATTCGGTTCTGTAATTCCTGTTTAAACCAATAAAATAAATTCATGCATTCATTAATTTTTTTGAGTCACCTTTATATGCAAATCCAAAAAATATGAATGGAATGATAAATCACAAGTACAGACTCATCATATTTTAAACATTTTAGATAGGATTTATTCACCAAATTTTGTGGTGACGTCATAAATTTTTTAAGGGGGACGACGAAATACATTTTGATAAAAAAATTACCATGCTTATGATAATTTTAAAACATCTTCAAGATTTCAAAGCATTCGGTTTTGTGGTTCCTGAGTAAATCAATAAAATAAATTTTGCGCATTCATTAATTTTTTGAGTCACCCGGTATATGCAAATCCAAAAAATATGAATGGAGTGATATATCACAAGTACAGACGCATCATATTTTGTACATTTTAGATAGGATTTGTTCGGCAAACTTTTGAGTTGACGTCATCAAGTTTTTGGAGGGGATAACCAAATATATTTTCACTAAAGATTTATGATGCTCTTTAGAGCCTTAAAACATCTGCAACATTTGAAAACATTCGGGTTAGCAGATTCAAAATTAAATTGGAAAATGTTGTTTTATAATTTTGATTTTTTTTCCAAAAATCTGGACGTTTCGGGTAAAAACTGTAACGAAGCGAATTTTCGCGGGCCGGAAACCGTGACGCGTACCGCGAGAAACGGGGGTAAATTCGCGATCGCCTCGCCGCCGCGGCGGAAGAAGGGGACTCTGGCCTGAAACTCCAAGGAGTGCGGAAGTGCTGGTGCCGTTTTCTGAGTGAAGAAGAGGTTTTTTGAGAAGTGTGATAAAGTGAGCAGTTCGACCCTCCGACCACCGTAAGTACCTTTTTGAGTCGCCTGCCTGTTTTGTACCGGTTTTGGAATCGCCGCCCCCGAGCGAAAAACCGTGTCACCGTCACCGCGTTTTTTTTTGTCACCGTCGAAAGTCGACACCGTCGTGCACGCGTCGTTACCATCACCGCGCTCCCCTCCCGGGTCGCCGTGCCGTCTTCGCGCGATTTCCAGGTTCAAGGTCGCCGCCCCCAGAGCCCGGAGGAGCTCGGACTGAAGGAACTCGCCGCCCAGGAGGAACGAACGTGCCGGACATTTAATTTAATTTAGTTCGTATAACCGTTTTATATTTATTTAAGTTGCTTAGCCGTAAGTTTTATTATTTTAGACCGTGTAGCTGGTGGCAGGGAATAAACCGTATTTTTGTTATAACACATCCTCGCCGTTTTATTTATTATTTGCGAGTTTCCGCGGCGGCTCATCACCTGAATTCCGTGTCTCCGGCTTTAGACCACCCCGGCGCTCCCTCCCCCGGAGAGGGAGCTGGCGCCCGAGCGACCGCCGTTCCTGATCGAAGGCGCCACCCCCGGCGGCGTGAAGGTAGCCGCATAAGCTTGGTCGACCAGACGTGTTTCTGACATCAGCGATACTAGTCGACCCAAAGCTTGGCACCCAAGTACGCCGCCACCCCATACGTTATCGGCGAGATTCCGGACCGTGCGTCCCATCATCCGGAATTTCGTCGCAAACTCAATTCGGAGTCGTAAACGACATGTGTAGGACTATGTTATTTTATACAATTTAAGACCCATTTACTATGTACAATTTTGAAGTGACGTCATCGCATTAGTGGTGGGGATGATTAGACAAATTTCGGTTAGCGTTTTACTATCTACATGATATTCCTAATATAAGTAGAAAATTTCGTAACAATCGGTCCAGTACTTTCGGAGATTATCTGTCTACGGACAGACAGACGGTAATGGGAGACCTATTTCTTCGTCTTCTATGGGTCATGAAAGATCGAGAAAACGTAAAAGTAGAGAGTCGGGCGACGGACTCGACGGAAGCAGCAGCAACTGCTAGGGAAGGGTACCAAACAAAGTGGTAATTAAAATAAAAAATAAAATAGAAGAATTGAGTAAGTTTACAACAGCAAAGGAAAACAGGAACGTACCTGGTAAAGTTAAAAGTTACGTGAAAGAACTCGCAGGTCTTGTAAATAGACTAGTAAAGGAGATCAAAAATGATCGATCAGTAGACTCTTCTAGTACTGGTGGCACAGTAGGAGAAGAAGCACAGGGAACAGGACATACAAGCCAAGAGAGCGCAAAACAGGTACAGACACAGAATACGGTGAGCGAGTATGAACAGGATAGGATAGGAATAGAAAGACTAAGACTAGTAAAGGAACTAGAGGATACAATAAATGAAAATCAGAAACTAAAAGAAGAAATACTTAATCAAAAATTAAAGAATTCAAGACCTAGAGCGATGGAAGAAGGAACACAGCAAAACCATCCCGTAAAGGGAACAGTTTTCAGAAATGAATTTCTAAAGATAGAACAGAACACGAACGGGATAATTGAAAATAGTAAGAAGGTAAGCGCTCTTCTGCAGAACACGCCTGACACAAGAGTAGAAATAAAGGCATCGATAAAGAAGACGTATCGCAATGTGGAGGCTTTGTCCAGTAGAGTCAGGGAATATAAAGAAGACATTATAGTACAAGAAGTGAGGGGAGCTAAGGTGATAGAAAAGCCAAAAATGCTATCCATGGGAATACAGGTGAAAGGAAGAGAAATTGAAGAGGAGAAGAGGAAAATAAATAATGCCTCAAATAAGAGAATTGAAGAAGCTCTGACAGAAGGGAGCAGATCCCTGGAAACACTCAAAAATATTATGGATCTTGAGTGGCCCAAGCAGATGTATGTGAACACCACAATCGGGGAGAACGTCCCAGCCCAAATATACACTGAGGAAAATGTAGCCTTAATGATTAACCCGAGTGATAACCCAATGATACCAACAGCTTATGCAAGGACGCTCCATGAGTTTACCCGGATAATAGAAAACGGCGTTGTGGAAGGCGAGGGTGAATATGTAACTGCCCATTCACAATGGACATAAGGCATAACAAGTACATAAAGCTTACATAAATACGTAAAGTTGAAACGATGGAAAACGCGTACCCCTGTTCACAGTGGACGAACGTAGTTCTTATGCTTATTAACGTTTTATGTAATCCTTGTGTGCGTACACAAAGTTGAAATAAGTTCAACTTTGTGCACGAATTATGTCAAAATTATGTTAAAATCTAGGGACTTTTGAATGCTACTATTGAATTCCCTTTGACAATTGGCACTTGGCACTTGACACCTTTGATTATATTATATAAATTATAATCAACGGTTCACACTGCGAGTCTGTTCTGTACTGCGAGTTGTCAAGTTCGAATATCGTATGAAATTGTAGGTTAGATATTTTGATTGACTCAGTTTGAGGTTAGCCGTTTCTATGTTTAGCCGGGAGTTATTCCGTTCTGCGTTTGCGCAGTTTAACAATTCTTACAGAGTTCACTCTGTCCACTGTGATCGTAGATAAGTATAAGCCAGACACAAACCAAAAACGTAAATTATGTTATGCGCTCATTCTTATGTCTTATGTCCATTGTGAATGGGCAGTAAGGAAAGATACAGAAATTATGCTTTATACGTTGACGATCTTAAAATATTTAACAACCCTAACAGTAATCGTGATATCATCGCTGGCGACTTAAACATAGTGCTACAATGGTCTGATCTCTGGTTAATCCCAATTAATAAAGAAAAATGTGTTGTTCTTCACTTAGGCGCAAAAAATCCATGCTTAAATTATCACATTAGAAATGTTTCTATTGTAACACTGACAGCTCAGTTAGGTGTTGGTGAGCAGTGTTACAAGTGTTATTGGCATCCCTGCCGTTTAGTGAGAATTAGTTAAGTTGGCAATGACCAACATTAATGTACTGTGTATTTTGGTACTTGTAGAATGTTACACATGTTTAGTTATTAAAGTTATAATTAAAACAAGCCTCTTTCTTATAACAAATGAAACATGGTGTCAGTGTGGGATTAATAATAATGGATTATTACGAAAACGATCAGCCACCTAAACAAATACAACAGATGGATGTATCGTAAGTGCAAGTTCCCAAATTGAGGTTAGGATAACCACGTGCAAATTCAAATACTGCAAATTCACAAAAATCCAAGTCATCTGAAGAAAGTAACAATAAATACTAACATGGCACAAGAAATGGGAATGTTTCGAAGGCCCCCAGAGTTGGATTTTTCAACAAAGGTATCGTTCAAATGGGATTTATGGAAACAACAATTTGAACTTTTTCTAATGGCAATTTCGAAAGAGGACGAGACAGAAAAAAGGAAAATAGCGATCTTTCTCAACGTAGTAGGGGAAGAAGGAGTAAAAATTTACAATTCCTATAAATTAGGTGAGCAAGCAGACTTAACTCTCGCAATTGTTTTAAATAAGTTCGGAGACCATTGCAAACCGAGAAGAAATGTGATCTACGAGAGGTACTGTTTCCTGAAAATAAGACAAAAGGAAGGGCAGAGCTTTGATGCCTACGTAACTGAATTAAAAAATGCAGCGATGAAATGTGAGTATGGAAACCAACAAGACTCCATAATTAGAGATCAAATTATATTCAACGTAAGAGAAACACGTCTACAGGAACAACTAATTAACGAAAAAGATATTACGTTAGAGAAAACACTAGAAAAGTGCAGAAGTGCCGAAATAAGTAAATTCCAAATCAACGAGTTTTCCAAGGGAAATCAGTATCCTATGGCAAATGTGTCAGCGATCAACAAGAAAAAACAACCAATGAAGCAGATGAAAACTGGGAAACCAACTACGAAAATAATTAATAACTGTAGAAATTGTGGACAAGTCAGTCACCCAGTAAATCAATGTCCAGCGTTCAATCAAAAATGTAGGAAATGTAAGAAACCGAACCACTTCGCCAAAGTATGCAGAAGTAAAACCAACAGCAACTATAGCGTCCATGAGGTGGAGAATGAGGAGGTTAATATGAGTAGTTTGCAAATTCTAAATATTAATATTGATGGAATCACTGCGGAAGGAAACACTTGGTACGAAGAAGTGGAAATTCAAGGTCAAAAATTAAATTGCAAAATTGACACTGGTGCTCAAGTATCAGTACTTCCGTATAATGACTTCAAATCACTGAACACGAAGAAGAAATTGTAGCCTACAAATGTCACACTAGTAGCGTATGGAAATAAAAACTTCAAAATTACTCCAGTTGGACAAGTGACACTGAAACTGAAAGTTGGAAATCAAATAGCAGAAGTTAATTTCGTCGTCGTTAACCCTAGTTCTGGTGCTATTCTTGGGTTACAAGATTGTCTAAAATTGCAATTAATTTCCAGATCAACCAAAGTAAATGAGCCACAGAAGTACATTCACGAGTTAACAATGGAAATGGTTACTGAAAAATACAAATCAATCTTCAATGGCATTGGAAAAATTCCAGGAACACATCACATCACTGTAAGCTCAGAAGTCAAGCCAGTAATTAATCCACCAAGACTGGTCCCTTTAAGTCTACATACAAGATTGAAAACAACTTTGGAAAAATTCAGCAAAGAAGGAATCGTCAGCAAAGTCAGCAAACCAACGAAATGGGTGAATAATTTGGTAATCATCGAGAAACCAAATGGTGAACTACGCCTGTGCCTTGATCCAAAAGATCTGAACACTGCAATTCAGAGGGAAATATATCAAATTCAAACACCGGAAACCATCATTGCACAACTAAGCAACAAAGAATATTTTTCCGTCTTCGACATGTGTCAAGGGTTTTGGCAAATTGTTCTGGATGAAGAAAGCTCCGAGTTATGTACGTTCAATACACCTTTTGGTCGATATAAATTCAATCGTCTTCCATTTGGTCTAAAATCCAGTCCAGAGGTATTCCAAAAGAAAAATGAAGAAATGTTTGGAGATATCCCAGGAGCACACGTGTACTTTGATGACATTATAATCTCAGGTGAAGATGAAAGAGCGCATGATCGTAATTTGCAATTGTTTTTAAATAGAGCAGCTCAAAACAATGTTAAATTAAATTCAACCAAAGTTCAATTTAAAGTAAAAACTATTCGTTATTGTGGTCACATTATTAGTAAAAATAGTGTAGCAATGGATTCAAAATTCACTAAAGCAATTATTGAGCTTCAAATTCCTAAAGACAAAAAACATTTGTTAAAATTTCTTGGTATGCTTAAGTATCTAAGTAAATTCATACCGAATATGTCCCAAATTTCAGCTCCATTGCGTGAATTAACTAAAGAAAATACACCATTTCAATGGGATAAAATTCACACAGAAAGTTTCAATAAACTAAAAGCTATTATAGCCAAACCACCAACATTAGGTATATTTACTAGTAATCAACAACTAAAAATACAAACTGATGCCTCAAAAGATGGAGTAGGTGCAGTTTTATTGTCCAATAATCAGCCCATAGCATTTGCATCTGCAGCTTTAAGTTCTAACAAACAAAATTGGGCACAAATTGAAAAGGAAATGTATGCTATTGAATTTGCTTGTAAAAAATTTCATTATTATACCTATGGTAGACATGTTATTGTTAATTCTGATCACAAACCATTAGAGTCAATTTTCAAAAAAGGAATAAACCAAATTTCTGCTAGGCTACAACGCATGCGATTACAATTGCTCAAATACGAAATAACTGTTGAATATTTGCAGGGTTCACAAATGTTTGTTGCAGATTATTTATCCAGATCGTTTTTAAATGAGATAGAACCTGATAGTGTAGATTTTACAGTTCACACACTACAAAAGGAAATTGTAATTTCAGATGGAAAGCAGAACCAAATTAAAGAAGAAACAAAAAATGATCAAGATCTAAAACAAATTTTACATTTTTATGAACATGGTTGGCCTAATAATGTTAAACAATATTCAAAGGTAGTTAAACATTTTTGGAAAATTAAACATGACATTACAGTTAATAATGGTATTATATATTTTAATGAACGAATTGTAGTTCCTCAATCGTTACAAAGTTATATGTTAAAAATTTTACACGAAACCCACCTAGGTATAGAAAAAACCAAAGCTAGAGCTAGAGAAGTATTGTATTGGTTAGGCATGTGTAAAGACATATATGAATATATATCAGGCTGTGAAATGTGTGAGAAGTTTAATAGAAATCCGCAAAAGGAACCTCTTATGTCGTATGAATGTCCAACGCGACCATGGTTTCGAATTTCAGCTGATATAGCTTATTATGCTGGTAATGAGTATCTTGTTGTGATTGACTCATATAGTAAATGGATCGAATTGAAAAAGTTGAAATATAAAGATTCTCATGAGTTAATCAAGCATTTTAAAGAAATTGTTTCACGACAAGGTATTCCTGAAGTCCTTATTGCAGATAATATGCCATTTAACAGCTTTAATTTCAGAAATTTCGCGAATCAGTGGAATTTTAAAGTCATTACTACTAGCCCAAATTATCCGCAATCTAACGGACTAGCTGAGAAAGGTGTAGGAATAGTAAAAAATTTGTTTCGAAAAAATACTGATATAGACTTAGCACTGTTAGAGTATTGAACAACACCAATTGTAAATTTAGGATTTTCACCAAGTCAGTTACTAAATAATAGACGTTTAAGATCAAAATTACCTGTCAATAACAAATTATTAAATACTGAAAATATAAACCCGAAATATGTACATGATAAATTAAAATCTAGTCAGATAAATCAAAAAAAGTACTATAATAGAAGTGCAAAAACATTGTCTTCATTTGAACCGGGTCAAAATGTGTATGTAAAGAATCATAACAATTGGGAAAAGGGAAAAGTAGAAGATAAGTACGACACACCGCGGTCTTATATTGTAAAAACTGAGCAAGGTCAAGTGTTTAGGAGAAATAGACGTCACCTTCGTGAATCGAAAAAGGAGTTTGTTCCGCGTGGTAATGTTGTCGATCCAATTTCTGATTCTGAAAATGAGACATGTACCCCTAGTATGAATAATTCGACCCCTTTTAAAACTGTGTCATCCCCAACAAAAATTAATAATGATGTAAATGTATGTTCAGGTAAGGAACCTGTAAGTCGACCTCACAGAAATAGAAATATGCCATCCAAATACAAAGATTATGAAGTGTACGGTGTTCCTTCAACCTTCAAATAGTTTTGTAATCTTAGTGAGGGGGGTGTTACAAGTGTTATTGGCATCCCTGCCGTTTAGTGAGAATTAGTTAAGTTGGCAATGACCAACATTAATGTACTGTGTATTTTGGTACTTGTAGAATGTTACACATGTTTAGTTATTAAAGTTATAATTAAAACAAGCCTCTTTCTTATAACAAATGAAACAAGCAGGGTGATGGGTTCACATATATACCTATTTATAATATTTTGGGCGCCAAGTAACTTACCTATGCCGTGTCACGCCGACTTGAGTTACTGAAAGTCTGATTTTTTTTTTTAACACTGTGCACTGGAAGAGGGTCAAATTAAATTCGGTCAGATTTGATTTACTAAGTTTAATGAAAATTAAAAATAACTTCAAAGTAATTATAAAATTATTACAAAAAAATGAAAAAATTATAGAATTTGCGAAGCAGCTTAAAATTAATAAAGTTAGTAACCTTAATTAAATTAACTGAAGTAACTTAGATGAATATTATACAAAATAAAGTTAAATTCTAAGTGAAATTTATAAAGTTGAAAGCATATATAAAAACAATTCTTACTAATGCTGATAGTAAGCGATAGTGATACTGATAAGCCTAAGATATTGAAGCGATAAAAAAACTAAAAAACTTAACATGGAAAATTACAATGTGGAGAAATAATATGGAATAAGATGGAATTATGATATAACGAATCTACAAAATAGCGCTAACACGTGCCGTTATAACATGACGGTCCTTAAGGATGTTATTAAATATTATTTTGACCACTCAGTACTGATTGGCGCTTTAAGATGTAAAAAAAAACTTATCTAATTGTACGCAAAGAGATAGAATTAGAAATTTCAATTAAAGTGAAACTAGAATTTTACGATAGTTCTAAGGCGATAAGAACGGTAAAGGACTTAGCTGGTTGTAGATCCAAGGACGTCTGCAGCTGGTGAACTAGCAACGTTCTCACAGGCGAAGCAACTGCGATCTGCCCCGGGAAGTTGATAGCAGCGATCTGGAGTTGTTCGGAAAGCGAAATTCAGCGCCTTTCTTGACTTAGATTTTGGAAAATCTCTCAATTCCAATATGGCGACGCAAAAAAAAATATCGATAATTACTTTGAGAAGGCCTCAAACGATATCCTCTAGAGTTAAGAGGTTCACCAACGATACTTGGTTGAGTTTCACAACCCTAAACGGTACGAAAAACGATAGGTAACGGTAATCGGCACTAAGATTTCAGGACTCCTCCTGAACCTCAGAACACGACTTCACTCGCCGAATCACCACGACCGAATCCCCTAAAAATGGAAGACTTCCTCCACCATCCCCTCTTAAGGAAGACCTTTAATTCGCGTCGTACGCGTGTATTGACATATTTGACATCAAGATGGCGGATTGTTTACATCCGGAAGTCGTACCGATATTTTAGGTTCGCGTAGGCTTATAATTATCGTGGTTGATGAGATGTTGTTAGTACTAGTCGCAAAAGAATTAGAGTGAAGAGAAGAAGCGTGAAGTGAAAGTGATAGTAAAGTAAGAATGGAAAGATAGAAGAAGGGTTGCACTGTTTGGGGTGTCGACAAAGAGTGGAAAGGAAGGGAAGACCTTCCCCAAAACAGTACAACAGTACTCTGGGAAATAGAAGAGAGAAGACGAGAGGAAAGATAAAAGTGTAGAGAAAGAGATTTGAGTGGTATGGCACCCAGGAGTGCAGAGTGACACCCCCTGTGGCTTATAGCAGCCACCCGCTAAAGTGGGAGGGGTAACAGGCGTAGCTCCAGCCGCCCCTTATCGGCTGGCGCCAAAAACAAAAATGAAAACGGTAAGAAAACCTGAAAATCCGGAGAAAAATAAACATATGCAACCAGTTATACTTAATTTGACTACCGCAACTCTATTATACTTTCTTTTAGGCCCTTTTCTCTTTTTTAGTTGTCTTTTATGGCGTTCAAGACAGATGTTAAGTACCCAAGCATTTGCGTGGCCCTTTAAAATACGCCCCACACACCGGCAAGTAAAAGTAGCATGCTACAATACTAAAACTAAAGAACTTTTAAATAAAATAGAAACAAAGAAATTTGGTTTTGTTTATGACAAGAGAGTTGTCCTAGAAAACTTTGATACAATACCGTTTGGATTTTAATACTTTTCATTGTGAATTAATAATGAATCAATTGAAAACTCAACGTTCAAGTAATCACAATAATGCTTTACTATGCAATTCACCTCTAAAGATAAAATTTTATTTGGTGTCCTAAAAAATTTTTGAAATTTTATTTAAAAAATACTTTTTAATAAAAAAAATCACATTAGGAGTAAATTAGATAAATCTGGGTAAGTACCTAATACTTACAAAGTCGCTAACCTAATTACTCTCTTTTCTTTAGGCATTCCTTATACTATCGGTTTTTTAAATTTGTGCCAATAATGTTGATGACCTTCATCGATTTTTGGGACTACACCCCAATGACAGCCTCCAATACTTCTTCTTCTTCTTTCATCACTGGAGTTTGATTTTATTTCATCATCAAATTCAGATACTGCTAATAAAATAACGAAAAGAGAAAAACCGCTAAGGTATGCAACACAATATACAATCCTGCACGGTTTACAACATAACCATATGCTCATACCACAGATTACGGATACCAGATAGTTCACTCAGCTGTCGGCACTTTGAAGTCGGTGTCCCGAGATTTCAAGCGGTATTCACGCTACTACGCACGCTCTACCAAAATTGGTTCGCAAGCTTTGAATTTAAAAGCGGGGCGGTCAGAGAAAAATTACAGCGATGATGCAAGGGATGAGGTTCTAAGTGAAGAAAAAACGAACAAAATACTTATTTGCCTTACACAAAATGATTTATGATTATTACAAATGCTTAACATTTCACAATTT